TCCCTAACTCTACACTGCAGAGTGGCTCAGGCTCCCTGCTGGCCACTTAGCAGCCCCGCAGAAGGCACGTCTTTCCCTTTACTTGCCTGCAGACCTCCAGGGCTGTCTCCTGGGCCTGGCTGGATCACATGCCCCCGCCCCGCCATGCTAATCGCTGTAGCCCGAAGAGCGAAGTGTTCTGGTGGGCCAGGTCTGGGTCACGTGGCTGTTCCTATAGTAGGGAATGGTCGGTTCTCCAGAAGGAGCCGCCTCTGGCCCACCTTGTGCCTTCCTAGCATCTGCACACGTGGACGTGTGACACGTGCATGTGTTACGTGTGTGTGCATACACTTATAGGTGTACATATGCTCCTGCATGTTCACATATGCATGTATGCACACACATGTGCACACCTGCATGTGTGTGCAGGAGGGGACTGGCCCCGTGGTCACTGGTCTGTCCCTTGCTCCTGGATAGGAAGAGCTGGCTCATGTCCACTGTATCCTTGTCCGCGGGGTGCAGATGGCTAGGTTTGCCCACAGTGTCCCTCTCCCTAGTCCAGGGTCCTCTGAGGTCATGCCCAAGATAGGCTCAGGGTAGACACCATGCTGGCTTTGCCTCTTTGAAGCCGGATCCTTCCAGGACACGGGCAGAGTGGGGGATTAGGGGCTGACACCGATGGGCTGCAGGGTCTCGGCACTGCACCCCTCCAGAGCTTGGGGAGTTCTGGTGCGTTTGCATCATCAGCTCCCTGGGGTGCGTCGGCCGGGCCTCAGAAGTTGGGGGATGTTCAGAATCAGATCCAGCTTGGGGACTTTGTCTTGCAGCAGCCTTTCTGCCATTGCCCCAGCCCGGAGGCACTTTAGAATAGGGATGTGCCCCTTTGCTGGGCGGGGTGCAGCACAGGAAGGGAGGCTCTCCCCATCCCCTTTAATTCTTGCCCTCCTTCGGGCCTCCTGACCTCCGAGGCTCTAACTTGAACCTGGGGCAGCTGGCCCGCCGCCACCCTGCAGGGCTAGGTCATCTGCCTGCTAGCTGGCTCCAAGCCGAAAGGGACAGCAGGTGAGTGTGTAGGTTCTCATTCCAGACCAGGCTACCTGGAGCTCTCATCTCGCAGGCGCTCTATCGGGATCATCAAGGAGTGACAGCTTCCGAACAGGGACAGGCACGTCTTCGCTGTCTTGCCTTCCTGGGACTGACCTATTCCTTATTTCGGCATCTGCCATGTACAGGTTTCCTCGTTAGAGGGCAGAGCACAGGGCCAAGCTTATTGGGCTCTTGAACAGAAAAGCCCAGAGCTATCTGGCCTCAGGTGCAGCTGGATCCAGGTGGGGCTGTTTTCAGACCCACTCGGGCGTCCATGCTCCAGGCCTTGGCTTCTTCCTTTGTCCTGGTTCCTTTCTCCAGAAGGTAACCTGTCTCTGGGGGACAGGAAGCCCCTGCAGCTTTCAGTCCACATTCTACCGGCTTAGAAACGACAGAAGGAAGTATTTCTCCCCGGGGTTCAAGCTACAGGTGGGATGTCTTTGTTCTGGGTCCTGCGCCCACCCCTGAGCTCATCATGGAGGCCAGGAGGACGGGATGTTCAGGTTGGCCAGACAAGTCCTGTGCCTGCCACAGGAAAGCGGTCAGCCCTACTGGGGAGCCCCATTGATGAAGGGGGGGCAGTTTGCGGGAAGGGGCGTAGCCACTGGATGCCTGAAACATAGCTGGTGTCAAAGCCGAGTTGGTTTAAAAGTCTTAGCTGTCCATCTCACCCTGAATTGACTGAGCTGAAAAGAACTTGAGCTGTTTATAGAACATAAGTTAGTGACACAGACCTCTTAAAAAGCTTGTCACCACCAGGGATCCAGTGAATTAAAGGTAGTGGGGGGACTGTGGGCTAAGGGAGGAAATTAGCATGTAGGTTTTCCGATTCAGGCAAAAAAAATTGGCTTTGAGCCACCTGGAGCGAGGCAGCCGTGCTTGGGGGTTAACGATCCAGGGGCATCTCTCAGCCTGCACCCCAGCGTCACCCCTCCTCAGGCCATGACTCATCCTGAGGCTGCACAGCAGTGATGCGCTCTTTGACCCCCATCCTCACCTTCCCCGGGGCTGTGCTTTGTGGCAGCCCCCCCAATCCAAGTGAGACAGCCATGGGGGCTGGGTGATGCCCAGCTGCCAGCCCCTCGGCTTCACCACCCGTGTCTCCTCCCTGCACCTCACTGTCCCTGACTGGAAATCGGGGTCAGCTGGGGGTCAGCGGTGCCCCAAAGGCTGCTGTCAGGACCAGTGAGGGGAGCCAGGTGTGCTGGGTGCACAGCGGGCCTCGCGGCATCGTTTGCCAACACTGCTGTAGAACGGGGTCTCGTCACCCTCATGGTGGCAGGAAGCATGGACACTCAGTCTGTACGCCAAAGTGACGAGAGAGGGTGTCCCCATTGGAGCCAGGAGGGGCTCCCCGCGCTCCCTCCTGCACCCTGTAGAATACTCCGCGTGTGGAGGGGGACGGGCAGGGCGCGCCTGACCCGAGCCGCGGTGTCCCGTGTCCCGCAGCGCCGCGGCATGAAGGGCAAGGCCCGCAAGCTCTTCTACAAGGCCATCGTGCGCGGCAAGGAGGTGGTGCGCATCGGGGACTGCGCCGTGTTCCTGTCGGCCGGCCGCCCCAACCTGCCCTACATCGGCCGCATCCAGAGCATGTGGGAGTCCTGGGGCAGCAACATGGTGGTCCGCGTCAAGTGGTTCTACCACCCCGAGGAGACCAGCCCGGGCAAGCGCCTCCACGAGGGCCAGGTGAGCCCCGTCCCGTATGCGCACACTGGGAGGCCGAGGCGGGGGGCGGGCCCCTGGGGCCTGGGTGCGTGAGGGGGCCGGGCTCACCGCTGCCCTTCGTCTGCCACACACAGCACTGGGACCAGAAGTCCGGCCGCAGCCTCCCCGCAGCCCTGCGGGCCTCCAGCCAGAGGAAAGACTTCATGGAGGTAGGGGGCAGTGGGCGGGAGGGGACACCGCCGCAGGCCCACCCCAGTGCCCAGGCAGGGGCCGATCCCAGGGTCAGCGAGGCCTCTGAGCTGCTGCTTCTGGGTCTCTGTCTGCCAGCCTCTGGGTCTCAGTCTCTGCCCGCCCTCGCCCGGCCTCGCCCGCCCTCGCCCACCCTCTTGTCCACCCTCTGCCCGCGGTTCCTCTGTCTCTGGGCCTCTGGCCTGGGCGGGGCCTCCCCTCTCCTCGCCCCTGACGCAGCCGCCCGCCCCACCCGCAGCGCGCCCTGTACCAGTCCTCCCACGTGGACGAGAATGACGTGCAGACGGTGTCGCACAAGTGCCTGGTGGTGGGCCTGGAGCAGTACGAGCAGATGCTCAAGACCAAGAAGCACCAGGACAGCGAGGGCCTGTACTACCTCGCCGGCACCTACGAGCCCACCACGGGCATGATCTTCTCCACCGACGGCGTGCCCGTGCTCTGCTGAGCGGGGGCCTCTGCGGCACCCCTGGCTCGGGGCCACGTGCGTTGGTGTGTGCATGCGAGTGTGCCTGTGGACGCCCTGGTGCGTGTGTGTACGTGTGTGTGCCCGTATGCATGCACGTGTGTGCACACATGCACACACGTCTCCAGCTCCCCTCTCTGAATCCCTCGGTGCCTCCCAGGAAGGGGGCTCCTCTCAGCTATCAGGGTATGGCCCTGCCCAGCCCCTCAGGCCTCCCCTCCAGCACCTTGTAAGCACTTGGGCAGGCCGGGCCCCAGCACCCTGGCGTCCCCCCACTGACACGGACTGAGGGGGGTTCCGAGGAGCCAAACTGACACTCTGGGGTTCCTGCTGCTTGCGGGTCCTCCGGGACTCCCAGCGCCAGGCCCCCCTCAGCATGGAGCCACCCCTGAGCCTCCGGCTGTAGGACGGGGCGGCCCGACGCCCACCAGCCTCACTGGCCAGGCCTCTTCGGGGCACCTGCCAGGGGCCCAGCCGTGGGCCTCAGGATCTGGACTCTGGGGACAGAGCCAGGTGGGGGGCCCGGTGGCATTGGGTGGAGGGGCTGCGTGCCCTGAGGCCCCAGCCAGGCCCCCATCTGGTCCAGACCCTCACACTACAGACAACCCGAATGGTGCTGAAACCCTCGACCTGGCCACACCCGGAGGGAGGCGGCAGTTCTTAACCTGTACAGTTTTATTGTACCGAGACTTCTCCCTGTATCATACGCCTTTAAACGGAGTCCACTTTTTAATTATATATATAAAGATAAATATATATAAATATATATAAATATAAACTTTTTAAAACTGTGAAAAAATAGCTATGAAATTATAAAAAAAAAAGCGAACACATTCTGACGTGCAGAATATTATTTTTTATTTCTTGTTAGATTGTGAGTGTCTAGCACCCAGCTTCACGGGCCCCCTTGTCCCAAGCACACCCAGCCCCCCCGCCGCCCGGCCCAGGTGTACTGTACTCGCCCCCAGAGGGAGAAGGAGTTAGGGAGAGCAGAGGCTGAGAGGAGGTACCCCGCCCCAGTGCTGCGGGGGCCACGCTCACGAAAGCACTTACCAGCCCCACGCCCTCCAGGCGGACGGGAGGCCTCGTCCAGACAATCTTAAGGGAAGGAAAAGCCAGACTTTGGTTTTGTTTTTTGGGGGAATTATTGTTTTCCTTTTTTTTTAAGTTTCTTTTGGAATTTTGTTTGTTGGCGAATTCTGTGTGATCTTTTTCATAAAAAGAAAAGAAAAAGTTATAATTGGAAAGTACTGTTGTCTGGAGTGGTTCATTTCGGGGGCTGGGTGGGCTTGGTGTCTGGATGTGGCTGCTGTTGGTGGCCGCGGGGGTGGGGGCTGCCGACAGCAAGGAGGTCCATGCATCCGGGTGGCCACAGGCCTCAGAGTGGCTGTTTAAATTCGAGCTGATTTAAATGAAAGGGAAGGAAAAGATTCTCGGTTATGCCAGCTGCGGTTCCACTGGGTCAGCAGAGCCAGACATGGCCAGTGGCGACTGTGTCGGGAAACCAAGGTATAGATGGTCTGGGTCAGGGCGGAAGTTCTCTTGGCCGCTGTGGGGCCGGAGGCCATGCATCTCCTCTTTAAAAGGTGGAACCGAGTGTCCCCTGCCACACCTACACCCACGATGGTCTGCGTGGCCCTGAGCAGTGCAGAGACCGAGGGGCGGCTCCCCCTCAGGCCGGGAGGCTGGGCCCTGGCGCTGCCGCCCTCTCCTCCCTGAGCTCCGCTCCTGGCCTGACGGCACGGGCTTCGCCCGGCAGCTCGGTGCGGGGGAAGCGGATGAGACTGCGGGCGGTGTCACGGCTGCAGTGCAGAGGGCACGGCGCAGCGATCGGAGGCGTGAACTCACGGGAGGCGGCGTCTGGCCAGGGACAGAGACACCGAGTTCCACAGCGGTGGGCGGCCCCTCGCTCCGGGAGACGCGGAGCAGCGCCCTGGCGCCATCTGGCGTCCGCCACTGGCATCGCCCGGCGCTGTCTTGGCACAGCTGACTGCCGGGTGTCCGCCTGGGTCCCCCGAGGGTGAGCCCCCGAAACTGCAGGCCTGGAGCACAGGCAGCCCTTGGGCAGCCAGCCCCCTTCCCCAACTCTCTTCCAACCCGCCTTTGGGGAAACTGAGGCACAAGACAGTGTGGGAATTTGTCCAAATCACACAAATCAAGAGCCCAGGACACTCAACCTCAGGTCCCAGTTCAGCCTCCCCTTCTTCCTCCCTCTTCCTTAAAGTGGGCAAGATGCAGTCACTGTCCCTGACCTGAGGGCCTTCAAACCCCAAGTGCTTCCAGCTCCCACCTCTGCCACCACCCCTCCCCACAAACCTGGCTGTGGCCTGCCAGGTAAGGACCCTCCTGCAACCTGACCTAGCCCCACCCATCCTCTAGAAACTTCAGGCCTGGGTACAGGCAAGGCACCTTTTCAGATGAGAAGACAGGGGTCCCAGCCCTGTGGGTGGGCCGCGTCCTGTGGGGACCCCTCCCCCAATCCTCAGGGCAGCCCCAAAAAAACCCCCGCGCAGACACTTCTCGGAGGCGGCCGTGGGGCACTTACTGCCTTCATCTTTTAATGGCCAGTGTGGTACAGTTAGTGGACACAGGAGTGGGGTGGTCACAGCTGTGCTGTGGGCGTGGAAAGGCGGGGCCATCCTCCCCCCTAGGAAAGTCCAGCTTTGGCAAGACGCTCCGGGAACCCCCTCAGCTCAGCACCAAGCCGACCCGGAGCACAGGAAGGGGCCAGGCTGGGGCCTTACTTGCCAGGTTCTCACCTTCCCCCTTGGACCTTGCTGGGTGGGGATCAAGGCATAGGTCAAGAGTTATTCTAGCCAGGTGTGGGGCAGGTTTGGAGGCCCCCAATCTGTCCTGTATCCCCGGCAGTGGAGGAGCCAGAGGAGCCCACGGGTCAGGCGCAGACCCCCAGGCCTGTGGCATCAGGTGGGCGCCGGCCGTGAGTGGCTCCGGGGGTGAAGTGGGTACACCCACGCCCACACACCGTGGTCTGACTGGCTCCGACTCCTCCAGGGTGAACGTGTTGTTTGGGAGAACCAGGGTTTAAGGCTCGGGGGAGGGGGGATGCCTAGGGGGTGACAAGGCTGGGGCCAGGCCCTCTCCTCTGAGGACCTCTTACGTTTTACAAGGGGTCCCTGGTGAGGGAGGGGCTGGGTCAGGCACTATGGACAGTGTGGTTGGAGCCACAGGGCCCTCAGAGCTGGCCTGGGGGTGGGGGTCACCAGGAGGACACTGGCTGGTAGTCAGCTCTGGGGGAGGATGGCTGTGAATGACCTCAGAGCACTGGCCTAGCTAGCACTGGGACCACTGGGCAGACAAAGGGTGAGGAGCGGGAGAGCACAGTGCTGGGCGGAGCCCCGAGGGCAGTGATATGGCCCCAGTCTCCAGAAGCTTGGCAGAACCCTGGGCTGCGGTGATGGGCAGCTGTGCCCAGAGGGCGTCGGACCTGCACGGGGAAGAGGCCCCGCAGGCACTGCAGGGAGGGACAGGGAGGGGCCTCGGCCCCCGGTGTGGGCCCCAGTGGGCCCCCAGGACACGGCCGGCTCAGAGGCCAGCCGGGAAGGAGGCATTGGCGGTGGGCGTGGGGGAGCAGCTGCTGTGGGCGTCGCGAGTGAGGCTGTAGGTGCAGTAGGCCACGGCAGAGCCAAGCGTCAGCCCTGTCATGTAGGACACGGTCATAGTGTTCCCTGTAGACGAGACCAAGCACGTGTGGGCGGGGGGCGGGCTGGGATGGGGGCACAGCAGCCACATCCACGTGGACAAACCCAGAATCCCCGAGGACGAACCGGCGGCCCCTTGACAAAGGGCTGGAGCTCAGCCTCGGCTGCTCAGGTGTGAAGCGGGTGACAGGTGCCAGCTCCTGGGGAGGGGCCGCCCGGGGGCTGTTGCACGGGGTAG